GATGACGAATAGGGGGCGGGTCGAACCGCGCATATGTTCGCCCGCCGTGGCGAACGCGAACATGCTATGTTCGCCAGGAACCGTTCGCCGGCGAACCGTTCGGTACATCACTAGTGAACACAGTAGCTGTACATTTATGGCATAAGAGTATAAGCACAATTTTTAAATGTTGAGTTATGAACAAGCTAAGCGTAATGCAAGATTAACCCACGTTTGTTAGTAGCATGAGTATTTGCACATTCGTAGAATATTAACCAGCTTATTTAGATGATTATACTATCAGAATGATATATGTAAAACAATTGAGAATAAGTAATGCTTAACAGTTATAGGTTAACTACCTTAGTACCAGGGCCGGCGCGTCCATAAGGCTGCACAGGCAGCCGCCTTAGGGCGCACGGGCTCTGGGGGCGCAATATTTCAGTGACCGGCAGGAGGGAAGCTCTCCCTCCTGCCAGGCCACCATCTCGACCCCCGGCGCAGCGTGCGGCAGTGCTGTGATCAGGCGCGCGAGGGAGCTCTAATCTCCACGCTCTGCTCCCTCGCGCGCTGCCTACTGATGCCGCGGGAGCCGGAATATGACGTCATCAGTAGGCAGCCCGCGAGGGGAGCAGAGGGTGGAGATTAGAGCTCCCTCGCCGCGCCTGATCACAGCACTGCCGCACGCCTCCCAGCAGCCCCAGCCCCAGCCCCCCCAGCCCTCAGGGACCGATCCATCATCCACACCAGCTCTCCAGGTAGGGAGGCTGGGTGGAAAATGTGTATTTATAAAATTATTAGTGAATGTATGTGATGTGTGTCTGTGAGTGTGTGTCTGTGAGTGACAGTGTGTGTGTGTGTCTGTGAGTGACAGTGTGTGTGTCTGTGTGTGTGTCTGTGAGTGACTGTGTGTGTGTCTGTGTGTGTGTGAGTGACAGTGTGTGTCTGTGAGTGACAGTGTGTGTGTCTGTGAGTGACAGTGTGTGTGTCTGTGAGTGACATTGTGTGTGTGTCTGTGAGTGACAGTGTGTGAGTGATGTGCGTGTGTGTCTCTGTGTGTGTGTGTCTGTGAGTGACACTGTGTGTGTCTGTGAGTGACACTGTGTGTGTCTGTGAGTGACAGTGTGTGTCTGTGTGTGTCTGTGAGTGTCAGTGTGTGTGTGTGTGTCTGTGAGTGACACTGTGTGTGTGTCTGTGAGTGACAGTGTGTCTGTGTGTGTGTGTGTGTGTCTGTGAGTGACACTGTGTGTGTCTGTGTGTGTGTGTCTGTGAGTGACAGTGTGTGTGTCTGAGTGACTGAGCGTGTGTCTGTGAGTGACAGTGTGTGTGAGTGACTGTGTGCGTCTGTGTGTGTGTATGTGAGTGACTGTGTGTGTGAGTGATTGTATGAGTGTGTCTGTCAGTGTATGATGAGTGTGTTTGTCAGTGTATGATGAGTGTGTGTCTGTCAAATCAGTGAGAGTATGTTGGTCATTGAGTCTGTGTGTGACTATCAGTGTGTCAGTCAATGAGTGTCAATCAGTGGGGGTCTGTCAGTGTCAATGAATGAGTGTGTCAGATCAATGAGTCTGTGTCTGTCAGTGACGTCTGTGTGTTTGTCATTGAGTGTGTGACTGTCAGTGTGTACAGAGTGTAGTGGAGCAGAGCGCGGTACAGGAGCTTCTGTTTCCTGTACCTGGCCAGACTGACAGGAGGTGCTCACAGAGAGAGCACTCCCTGTCAGTCCAGCCGGGTACAGGAAACTGAAGCTCCTTTAGGGGATCTGCTCCGCTCGGCAATGTAACAATAGAGGTAGGAGGCACACCAGGAAGCGGAGTGTGACCACTAAAAGGGTGTGGGGTGCACCAAGGGACATGGAGGGAATGGAAGAGAAACACCAAGAGACAGGGAAAAATGGGGGGAGGGGAGAAGAACACTAAGGGACAGGGAAGGGAAGGGACAACTAATGGTCGGGGAGGGGAGAGGGGCTGGTTAAGAGGCACATAGGTGAAGATTTCTGCATGAAAAATGCATCTTCGCCTATGTACCTAAAAATCCAAGCACCGGCCCTGCTTAGTACCAGGGAGATGTGGTAACATGCTTTCATGTTTCAGGGTTAAGATACATTGAAGCTCTGGCACGTAAAGATTTATAAAGCATGAGAACATATGTTAAAGTAGGCCGCTGATCACTAGCTATGCATATTGGGTAAATCTGTAAACAGGTAGATCTGAGCAAATGAATATCATAAGTTATAGTTACAAATAACACCAGGATATTCATGCTTATATAGTGTATGGTCCTGTTAGGGAGTAGTATTCAGAGCAGTGAGAGAGATGGGAAAACATGACTGGAATAATTATTACTTTAGCACGACTGTATAATAGGTACATGTTAAACTGCCTAGTGAAGTGGCTAAGTATACTTGTCTGGCTAGGCATAAATTTTGTAGTAGCATGAGTGTGCTAATTGTATATTATCTCAGGGTGGCAAGGCTTGAAACTATTGCGGGATATAGTCCTCCATGACTGCATGAGCGTGGTGGCGTGGCAGCATTCCAGGCAGCAGTGCGGCAGGGTGAGTCAGTGAGAGTCAGCCAACTCCTGTAGTCGGCTCTGGCAGGGCACATACCAGAAAGTCCCATGGATCCTCAGAGCCTCATGTCAGAAGATGTGGAGGGTCTCCACCGTTGTTTCCCAGACCCACGTGAGCGCTTCGGATGGCGGGGACACCCCTGTGGTGGTGCGGTGGTTTTCCTTCTCCACCCACTGCTCTGCGGGTAAGGGTCTCTGAATTTCTGTTGATCGTGGGGTCAAAGTCCTTCTGAGAGCTAGTTGCGGCTTTGCAGCGCCGCAGGTGGATGATGTGCTGATAGGCCCTCTTTGCTCCTTCTGCTGTGGGCCGGGTATTGGCCCGTCGAGTGTGATTCTTTTTTGCTTTATGCAGCGGCGGGCTGTGGAGTGTGGCTCTCCGATGCTGACGACGCTCAGGTTGACGACGTCGGGTATGCGACGTGCAGCCTTGAGGTCTGGGTTGAGCTCCCCTCACCTCCTGCCGCTGTGGTTGCTCGGGTCTGTGTTATGTCTCAACATCTCATCCAGAAGTGGTCGAAGGCCGCCGCTATGTTGTCCTCGTAGGGGAGCTTGTTTGTCTGCTGCTCGGGTTGAGGCTGAGCGAGTGGAGGCCCTAGAGCCTCAGAGACACTGCCGCAGAGACATGCTAGGAAAGGCAGATGGATTACTGTAGGATCTGGTAGACTTAGAGTTGTGGATAAAAGGCATTTTGCACAGTCTGTTGCTCTTCATAATTCATTTTCTGCACTTTCAGAGTGTAATGGTGTTGTGGAGAGAGGCACTGAGACTAGTGGTGTTGTGGAGAGAGGCACTGAGACTAGTGGTGTTGTAGAGAGAGGCACTGAGGCTAGTGGTGTTGTAGAGAGAGGCACTGAGGCTAGTGGTGTTGTAGAGAGAGGCACTGAGGCTAGTGGTGTTGTAGAGAGAGGCACTGAGGCTAGTGGTGTTGTGGAGAGAGGCACTGAGGCTAGTGGTGTTGTGGACACCGGCTTGGAGACTATGGTGAGGCCTAATAGAAAGCAGTTGTTGTTGGGTGATTCCATTATAAGAGGTGTGGAGATGGACAATGGTGGTCTTGTGAGGTGTCTTCCCGGAGCTACTGCTCACAGAGACAGGAGGCGTATCTGTAATATTGTTAAGCAAGCAAAGCAGGAAGGGGAATTGGATGTACTTGTCCATCTAGGGACAAATGACTTGGCTTGCAATGAGGTTTCAGAGGTTAAGGAAGTTTTAGTGTTTTTGCCAATGATATACGGCAGGTTGCTTCCACACTGTCATTCTCTGAAGTTCTGCCTGTGCATAACACTCAGAACGACAGGCGGATGCGTATTAGGGACTTTAATTTGTGGCTTGGTGAATGGTGTCGGGAGCAAGGATTTGGCTTTATTTCTCATAGTAGCTCTGTTTGGAATGGAGATAAGCTGTACAAAAAAGATGGTTTGCATCTTTCTCAAAAGGGAACAAATGTTCTCAGTGAGCAGTTCAGAGGTTTTGCTAGGATGTATTTAAACTAGGAGGGGGGGGCAAAAAGGTGATAAAACATCAATCCAATTGTCCCCCAAAACAAGGACAGAAGGTGCCTGTAGCAATTGTGTTAAAAAATGATAAGCTTAGAGTCATGTCTACAAATGCTCGCAGTTTAGGGAATAAGATCCATGAACTTGTGGCAATAATGGCAACTGATAGTATAGATTTAGTCGCTGTTACTGAGACATGGTACAATGAGAAAAATGACTGGGACGTAGCAATACCAGGGTACTCTTTATATAGGAAAGATAGGGAAGGCAAGAAAGGGGGAGGGGTGGCCTTGTATGTGAAGGATAGCATAAAATCTAGCCTAATAAAAGTTAGTGAGGCAAACATGGAGTCCGTTTGGGCTACGTTAGAATTTGGTAATCGCACAGTAACTCGTGTAGGTGTGATTTATAGGCCCCCTGGACAAATTGAAGAGTTAGATAATCTACTAGTTGAGGAAATAGCTAAAATGACAATGAAAGGGGAAGTTATCATCATGGGTGACTTTAATCTTCCTGATGTAAATTGGAAAACAAAATTAGCTACTTGATCCAGGAGCACACATATTCTAAACTCCCTACTGGAGTTGTCTCTAAAGCAAGTTGTTGAGGAGCCAACTCGTAAAGAGGCCATACTAGATTTAGTGTTAACAAATGGAGATTTGGTATCAGATGTTACTGTAGGTGAAAGTTTAGGATCCAGTGATCATCAGTCAGTGTGGTTTAATATAAGAACAGTGACTGAGTCACACCACACAAAAACAAAAGTTTTAGACTTTTGAAAAACAGACTTTTCTAAAATTAGAATATGGGTAGAGGAGTCATTATCAGACTGGAGCAATTTAAATGGAGTCCAAGAAAAATGGGATTATTTAAAATTTGCACTATTGAAGGCAACAGAAAATTGCATTAGGCTTGTCAGTAAAAGCAAAAAATTCAAGAAACCACTGTGGTACTCCGCAGATGTGGCCAAAATAGTTAAAAACAAAAAGTTAGCATTTAGGAATTATAAAAAAACCCAGAGTGAGGAAGACAAAATGATCTATAAGATTAGGCAGAAAGAGGCAAAGCAAGTTATAAGAGCTTCCAAATCACACACACAGAAGAGAAAATAGCACAGTCAGTAAAAAAGGGGGATAAAACATTTTTAGATACATAAATGAGAAAAGAAAAGTAAAACAAGGATTAGTTAGATTAAAAACAAAAGAAGGAAGGTATGTAGAAGAGGATAAAGGTCAGGCTGACTGCCTCAATGAATATTTTTGTTCTGTATTTACAGTAGAAAATGAAGGAAAGGACCTCAGTTGAGAAAAAGGATAAATGAGTCATTTATTACACGTGAGTTTACAGAGGAAGAGGTTCTATTTCAACTGTCAAAAGTAAAGACAAATAAGTCAATGGGACCTGATGGAATACACCAAAAGCTATTAAAAGAGCTTAGTGGTGTACTAGCAAAACCATTAACAGATTTATTTAACCAATCATTGTTAACAGGAGTAGTCCCAGAAGATTGGAAGTTAGCGAATGTTGTGCCCATTTACAAGAAAGGTAATAGGGAGGAGTCGGGCAACTATAGGCCAGTAAGCCTTACTTCAGTAGTGGGGAAAGTGATGGAAACCATGTTAAAAGGATAGGATTGATGAACATCTAAAAACACATGGATTTCAAGATCAGAGACAACATGGGTTTACTTCAGGGAGATCATGCCAAACTAATCTTATTGATTTTTTTGATTGGGTAACTAAATTATAGATCAGGGTGGTACAGTAGACATTGCTTACCTAGATTTCAGTAAGGCTTTTGACACTGTTGCACATAGAAGGCTTATCAATAAACTGCAATCTTTAAGTTTGAATTCAAATATTGTTGAATGGGTAAGGCAGTGGCTGAGTGACAGGCAACAGAGGGTTGTAGTTAATGGAATATATTCGAAGCTTGGACTTGTCACCAGTGGGGTACCTCAGGGATCTGTACTTGGACCCATTCTCTTTAATATTTTTATTAGTAATATTGCAGAAGGTCTTGATGGTAAGGTATGTCTTTTTGCTGATGATACTAAGATATGTAACAGGGTTGATGTTCCAGGAGGGATAAGCCAAATGGCAAATGATTTAGGTAAACTAGAAAAATGGTCAAATTGTGGCAACTGACATTTAATGTGGATAAGTGCAAGATAATGCATCTTGGACGTAAAAACCAAGGGCAGAGTACAGGATATTTGATAGAGTCCTAACCTCAACATCTAAAGGGAAAGGGATTTAGGGGTGATTATTTCTGATGACTTAAAGGTAGGCAGACAATGTAATAGAGCAGCAGGAAATGCTAGCAGAATGCTTAGTTGTATAGGGAGAGGTATTAGCAGTAGAAAGAGGGAAGTGCTCATGCCATTGTACAGAACACTGGTGAGACCTCAATTGGAGTATTGTACACAGTACTGGAGACCGTATCTTCAGAAGGATATTGATACCTTAGAGAGGGTTCAGAGAAGGGCTACTAAACTGGTTCATGGATTGCGGGATAAAACTTACCAGGAAAGGTTAAAGGATCTTAACATGTATAGCTTGGAGGAAAGACGAGACAGGGGGGATATGATAGAAACATTTAAATATATAAAGGGAATCAACACAGTAAAGGAGGAGACTATATTTAAAAGAAGAAAAACTACCACAACAAGAGGACATAGTCTTAAATTAGAGGGACAAAGGTTTAAAAAATAATATCAGGAAGTATTACTTTACTGAGAGGGTAGTGGATGCATGGAATAGCCTTCCAGCTGAAGTGGTAGAGGTTAACACAGTAAAGGAGTTTAAGCATGCGTGGGATAGGCATAAGGCTATCCTAACTATAAGATAAGACTAGGGACTAATGAAAGTATTTAGAAAATTGGGCAGACTAGATGGGCCGAATGGTTCTTATCTGCCGTCACATTCTATGTTTCTATGTTTCTATGTAGAGCCTGGTCGGCAGTCGCCATCTTGGCTTCCGAGTGTGGGTTGCCTGTGGTCACGGAGGCTAGTAGGGTCCCATGGCCCTGTAGAGTTTGGGCCGGGATGACCCCCGCCAGCCCATGGGGGGGGGATACGGGCTCTCGATCGCAGAGATAGCTGGTCTTGGCGGCAGGAGGGCGGCCGCCCCCCCCGTGCTCGCCATGTGAGTAGGCCCCGGACACCTGACCCGTGGTTGTAGCTTGTAGTGTCCCTTGTGGGGTAACATTTTGTTCAGCCTAATGTCCCCTTTCAGTTGCTGGCCTTCATGGCCCGATCAATCGCTTTTAAAGTCGTGGAATTAGGGTTTTGGTACAGCTTAGTGCAGGAGCTCTTTTGATGCACGTCCACACGGCTCTGCGGTCAGGCCCTGCCCCCCTTGGCACCATTTTTAATCATGTTTTTACCTATATACATATACCTCATGTAGCCAGGCTGTATATTATTCCATTTGAAAATCCCTTTTGTGGAGAAACGCATTATGGAAAGTATTACTTTGTATTTTATTTAAATAAAAGTTTGTTTGGTCACTATACTTGCATACTGTGCCAATTACCTTTTGTTTTAAACAGTTTTATTTATTTTTTAAATATACTTAACTCCTGGCTATGTCGTTTCCTGTCTACTCTAAAGAAATCTCAGGTGGTGATCATATAACCAGCGCCTTATCCATAGAGCAGTTAGACTGCTCCACCTTTGTGAGTATTTACTATTTTTACTATTTTACCAATTTTATTGTAATAGAGAGCACTATTATCTGCTTTCTATATTTTTGTCATTTTGGGTCCCACGACACCATCTTTTACGGACACTCACTAACACATCCTGTAAGTGGGGATTATACCAATATACGCTATCAAAACTGGAGCTGGTCATAGCTCCACTAAATGTGAGTTTATTACCTATTGCACTATTAGATTTCTTGTTTTCTTGTCTTGCATATATGTATGGATTACACTAAAAAATCTTCTACCCATCATATTCGCTGATACAATGATCTATTATATAAGAAAAAATAGAAGGGGATCCCAGACTCAGCAAGAGTGAGGGATTCCAAACTGG